TAGGGGAGGGAGACGAAAGTAGCAGTCCACATGGACATGCTTGGTCTAGGAAGCGTCTCTGATAGATATGAGAGCAGATAAGGGGAACGATGACGGCAAACTGCAAGGATCTACTTGAACCCTTTGTCGTCGCATAGAACAGCTTGTAAAATAAATAACGCAAAGTAATATGCATATTCACGAATGGCAAAATCGCGGCAAGAAAGATGCATCATCGAATCTTTACGCTTGCAACTGTGACAGCGATAAATCCTATTAATGAAAGGTTTCAGTGTCTTTTGTTCTTTTGTAGAAAATTATATTAATATAAAATTACTTCACCTGCCACAATGCATTCACAATTTAAAGATATGCAGCAGAATGTACGTATTAGTGATCGGTGACATGAAAAAATAAAGTTTCTCGCAACGCAAATCTTCCCAGCTCAGAAATGTACGACACAATCCACAATTCTATATCTTAATTCGGATTCGCAACAAAATTGTCATATGCCGAGGGTAACCATGTCTAGCTATACATATTAGACTTCATCCACGGGGGTTCCTATGCCCAAATTACCAGATGAAATGAGGCGAACTGAAAAACGAAAAAGAAAAAATCCATGATTACTCTCACTCTATTCCGCTAATCTGTGATATGAACTTGTGAAATAACACTTGAAGATAAAGAGGGAAATACTACGAAATCACACGATCGCCTGGGATTTTATCCAGAACATGCAACCAACTTCCATGAGGGTGAGAAGGGCGTCATTAATAAGTGGAACACGATTCTAGCCTAAAACCCTAGTCCAACACTAATAAATAAATAAGGGCTGAAACCGACTCGAACAAAAGATGCCGATCGATGATTAATTTCATTAATTTATATAATATCGTGTTACAAGCTCCGCTCCAGCGCCAACAAAACGTGTCACCATTGAGCAATGTAACTACTAAGGTTGTCAGCAATGTCAAACTTCCAAATTATGGAAAAAGCATGTGCTGTCTCATGTTTCTCTCCACATACGCGACCGACCAGAAGGGAAAGGGAAAGTGAGGTCAGGTGGGGCGAGGAGAAGAGCCATTAGCGAGAGTAAAAAAAGATAATATGATGTCCATGATAAAAATAACGAAATCAGTAAGAGACTCAAACGAACTGAAAGAGTTAGAATGAGCGAATTTCTAACAGCCAATCTACGAAACCTGTACAGAAAGAGGATATACATAGAATTTCGTGAAATATCTAGGCAAAATCACAGGGAGTTAATTCTCATTTTGTGAGAAAATCCCAAACGCGTTGAATTCATTGTAGTTGAAACAAGAGAAACTAATAAATTACTTAATGAATGATATTTCGTATTGTTGACCAAAGATAGTCAGTACCATTATGCAAGTTATCGCACGTAACACTTTTACCCAGCAAAACTAACGTGATGTTAATATCAATTTGATATTATATATATGGTTATCACTAAGTTTACTTTTTAATAGTCTTTTCCTTGTCAGGATTCTACCTTCCTCGAGGGCAAGAGGAGGAAACATCCTTTTTTATATGTATATATATATATATACACCATATAGCCACAGATGTTAAGCTATTAAGAAGCGGAAAGAGTGCAAAATAAACAGAAATTAGAAGACAGAGGAAGTGTTCCTGAGATCCCGTGTTTGTTCCACGTGTTCTGTGTTCCTGAGATCCCGTGTTTGTTCCACGTGTTCTGTGTTCCTGAGATCCCGTGTTTGTTCCACGTGTTCTGTGTTCCTGAGATCCCGTGTTTGTTCCACGTGTTCTGTGTTCCTGAGATCCCGTGTTTGTTCCACGTGTTCTGTGTTCCTGAGATCCCGTGTTTGTTCCACGTGTTCTGTGTTCCTGAGATCCCGTGTTTGTTCCACGTGTTCTGTGTTCCTGAGATCCCGTGTTTGTTCTGGTATTGTGTGTTCCTGTGTCCTCGTGTTTGTTCCACGTGCTCTGTCTTCCTGTGTTGGTGTTGCCCTATTTTGCATAATGTTGGAAGGATAATAATTATCCGTCACAACAACGTTTTCCTGGAACCCTAGAGGAGATTATTATTTAGAATAAAAACTAAAATTAAAACCTTACTAATGAAGATCTAACAAAATAGATTAATAAAAGAACCTTGGATTATTCACAATGTATATATATGTAATATATACATACTGTGTGTATATATATGTGTATATATTCATATATATACAAGTGTATATATACATATATATGTATATTCTATATATACATATATACATGTATAGGTATATATGTG